ATGGATGTAACTTACGAAGCTAGTACTGGTAATATATAAGGCACTCTTACTGCCTATTGTGCTTGAATAGTACATCATCCAACGTATTTGTAAGACTGACATTTCTCGTACGAGTGTAAAGATTGTCACCGGAGTAACGCAAGATGTGCTTTAAGCTATTTGTTGACACTTAGTTTGAGAAAATTTTGGTTAAACTTCACAACACGAAACATAAAAGAATGCCAAAATAAAACTTTAACTAAAAAAAAAGTTAAACAAGTACTCTATTTATAACGATAAGTATCGAAATCAGTGGATGAACTTTTATATATACAATTAAGTCAAATTTAGGAAGCCATACCTATATTTGAAATTTGATACGATGTTCAATAAAACTTGAAAATTGTTTTATATATTTGACAGCTATTTATTGACTTTTAACAAATCAATAATATAAGAATTAGGATTTTGAAGGACACTAGAAAAAAATCACGTGCCATAGTAATTGCGTTTGACTAATACAAAAATCTACAATAATTTAGTAAAACATAACAAATTAATTAACTAGTAACACATTTAAATTCATTTAAGCTCTACTAAGACGGTTTCATAAAATTCATTTTTGCTATCAGGAATGTTTTCTCATATGTAAAATGGATCAATGACTTGGTTGAATTAAAATGTAAGGTGTAATAAAATGGGTCATTAAAATATCACAAAACACATAACTATTTCCTTTAACAACGCATTTTCTTTCAATAAATACGAAATTCAATAATAGATCACACAAATATATAAATAATAATAATAATAATAAACTTAATATTTAAGGAACAAAAAACGCGTATCGAGTAATAATTATACTATAGTAATAATGATAATTAAATAAATTATATTATTATTACATGAATAAACTTGTGGTCGTAATGCCCCAAACCTATCTTTCTTATACTATATTTATAAATGATGGTAAGAAAAAAGATACCGAAAATACGAAAATTTTATTTTTTGAATCATCGATGAATGTCCTTGTGTGTTTGTCTTATTAGCGTGGATTCGTTTCGCGCGAAACAATGAAGCTCCTGAGAAAAAAGAAGTAAAGTGAAATAAATAAAAGACGTACATTATTATCATCGAACAATTGTTGTTTTATCTCATTTTTATTTACACGATTCTTAAAAGCTTAAAAATCTTAAGCTCGAAACTCAAGTTCAGAAATAACAGACATTCGTAGCGCGAGTATTTAAAAAGTACGGAAAATTAATATCGCGTTAAAAACCACACCAATCACATGGAGCAGCATTGAATTTCGATAGTAACGAGTCCGTTCTTCTCGTATCCCAAAAACGAAATAAAAAGCACCCCAGAACAAATAACGTAAATTCATAAGCAAATGAAAATTAATTATTCTAGGCCGAAAATAGGCACGAGAGAAAGAAGGGAGTAATAAGTATTTCAATATATTAAAAGTGAAAAATGAAAAAAAAACNATGAATGCAAAACTTTTTTATGTGTAAATTATGTATATATGTATATATTTTTTTCCAGCTTTCAAAAAAAAAAGACATTCGTGAATGTGATGTTCTGAATCAGCAGCACACGTACGTCTACGGGATAATAACTACATTGTGAAGTCATAGGTTATTAATATATATTAACGTTGAATCGCAGCCTTTATTTTCTTTCGAACTTTATCACAAGTCGTGTGTACTCCATGGACTATCAATCCAAGAGAGTAAAAAAAACTCGTTTTAAACACTGTTTTGTATAAAATTAACGTTAAAAGTACCTCCCAATGTACCCTTTTAATGCTGTATTATTTATTTCAAAAGCACACAAGAACAATTATTTATGAGGCCGAAATTAACGCTAGAAAAAGTAGTGATAGGCTCGACTCCACAGAATATACACTTTTATTCTATGGTTATGTTAGGGCTAAGAGAGTACAACTATAATACAGTACAGAATAGGCCCCCATAGGTGGTGGTATCATATATAGACTGGCCTCTACTCTCAAGGTCCGTCTCTTTTCTCTCTCTCTCTTTCTCTCTCTATTGGTCCTTCACGGCCACAGCGTGGTGCAGGGTGCAGCTTCTTCCTTAGCACCGAGCGCGAGAGAAATAGAGAGAGAGAGAGAGGAGTCCCAAAGAGAGAGAGAGGGGAAACAGCCACTGGAATGCGTGGGAATATTTGCTTCTAGAGCTGATGCTGCTGTGGCAGCGCTGGGACGACGCGTTTACTTTTAACAAATACTTATCTCTGGTAT